GGAAGTCCGGAGCTAAATAGAAAAAGTCTTTTAGAGCCCATAGAAGCCTAGAGGCGTGCGAGCGCTGTGTCGAATAAGCTCCGGGGCACTTGTATGATGTGCTGAATCCGCGTTTTCGGGGGTCAGACGATCCTGAGGCTTATCACCTCCCCCTGACTGAGATACTGACTGTCCTCAGTCTCCGCGTTGCGACCTGCAGATAAAGAGGAGTCCGTCCACCCTCGGAGCTCATCATCCTCAGCCATGTCCTCTCAAACTAGCCCGTCATTCACTGCTGTCGACCTGACCAACGTCTTGAAGGGGTTGGCGGCTCGCTACGCCAGCGGTGAGTCAGTGGAAGGCCTCGTCGTCGAGGCGGAGCTATATATGGTAGGACCGGACTTAAATGAAAGTAATGGTGGGGGCTAATGGTGTCTTGTACCAGGGACATTTCGTGAGCGGTAGCAGCGATGTGGGCACCGCCAGAGTGAGCGCAGTGCTCCTCGCAAAAGTCCATCTGCCTTCGGCGGTGTTGGACAGGTTACGCGCTCGCTCCCTGGAAGAGGGGAGCAATTTGAATGCTTTCCAGTTCGATCTGACCTTCCCCGTAACTCCGGCTGCTGCTCCGACTCTCGAGAACACTCCGATGCTTGCTAGGACTCGCGGGGCCTCCAAGCGGACTCTCGAGGACTCCCCCTCCACTGAGCACGTCGCCGAAGAGTCAGGTCGGCCCAAACCGCGCGGTCGGGGTCGTCCACGGGGTACGGCGAAGGTGGAGTATCAGGAGGCACGAAAGGCGGTATGTTGAAATACTTATGACGACTTCTGCCGACTCCGGAGCTAAATAGTCGCTAGTGTCATGGGTGCACGGAGCGGAAGCTTCGATGCCATGTCCCAGTCTCGGGGCAGGCTGAGGCCTGTCAGGAGTGCGCCAAGAAGAAAACACGGTGCAGTTTCGCAGACGGACGGGGCTGACGGGCAGAGAGCAGCGAAGAGGAAGCGGAGGTGGAGGAGGGGAGCACAGTCATTGTCGGACGGCCGCGGGGCAGTCCAAAGAAACCACGACTGGAGATGGAGAGCGTTACTAGTAAGTGCCGCAGGAATTAACTCCGCCGCTCTGACAATGCTGAATTATCCCAACAGTCGACTCGCCTCCGCCTGGTCCTAAAGGTAAGGAGAAGGCCACGAGCCACGACTCGCGTCCTGCGCCTACTCCGGGACCTTCGTCTGCGCGTCCGGCATACCTGCCTTCAGTCGCTCCTAGTCCGGTCGCCTCGCTCCTGAATTTTGGTCCAGAGGCCCTGGCCGTTCCCCTCTCCCGTACGCCGAGCTCCGACCTTTCCCTTGTCTCTCCGTTCCCGCGCAGCGAGATAGCCCCGGACCAATTCGGACGCCTCTACCAGATTATCGCGGAGCTGCGGGAGCAGTCAATTGTGGCTCGTGAAAATGTGGTAAGCCTGCGGGAGGAAAATACACGGTTCCACCGCGAGTTGGATGAGGCGCGGAGGGTCAATGATCAGGCACTGCAGGAAGTGCGGAAGGCCCTCGAGGAGTCGCGCGCTGTCAGCAGAACTTGCGATTGATATAATACCACCTAAATATCTCTAAGCGGTGCAGTCGTCAAGTTCCCCAAGAGAATGCTGGATTTGTCGTTGGTCGAGCAGTTCCCTTGTGTTCGATGAGGGAGAGTATAGGCTTTATAGAGGTTAAATCTCTTTGTTTCAATCTCCAGATAACTAAACAAACAAAATAGCTGACTACCAGAGTCTAGCTGAGGATGAGGGTAAAGAGCAAACACAGGTGACCAGAGGTCTACGGCCAGACTTCCAACACCAAACCTAGACTGAAGTATTTCTCACAGTAGAGAAACAGACTAGCTGTGGCAGACAGCAGACAGTACTGCAAGTCCTTCCCTTCTCTGAGGTATCACAGATAGCTTTAACTCCAGACTAACACTGCTTGTTCCAGCACTTTTGTGGAACCAAGACAGTACAGATGCACACAGTAGTACAACTGATTCTGAGGCTGACTTGAACCAATGAGGCTCTCTGGTATTAGAGGG